CCCCAAAACCCCAAAACCCCAAAACCCCAAAACCCCATAAAATATGAGCCTTATAGGATTATAAAAATATGGAAGAGCTCAAAAAGACCAGCGAAATAATCGTCAATAACAAGGATAATTTAGGTCTCAAGGAGATTTTCATGTTAGTCAATCCTCTCAGTGGTAGCAGGGAGGGCGAAGCATATACCATCTTACCTGAAGATAGTTATGAGTACGAAATGGATGATGGGACTCAGATTAGATTAAGTATTACCAATCTTCTCGAGAAAGATTCAGTAGAATCCACTATCAAGCAAATCTCAGCCACTGTCAAAACCAGATTTGATAAAAACCCAGAAGACATCAACTCTGTGGTAATTCTCCTCTGAGGAGGAGATGGCACATTCATGAACATGGCTCAAGAGCTGAAGAATAATGGGATCGATATCAACCACCTTAGATTTGTAGTATTCCCATTTGGCACAGCGAATGATATTGCTAGATCTTTTGGGTGGGGTTCCACCCCATCCAATAAGATGCTTGAAAATATCGAAGCTGTCTGCTATGAGATATTCAAAGCCAAGGAAGAAAACTTCGATATATGGGAAATCGAAGTCCTCACCAACCCAGATAAAGGGGATATCCAAAAAGCTGACGGGGAAAATCTTGCCAGCATCAAAGAGACATCAATGAAGAAGTACATGTGACATTCCTTCTCCTTTGGCTCAGATGCCAGGACTGGCCTGGCATTCGAGAGAAGAAGGACAAGAAACAGGTTCTGCAACAGATTTATGTATGCTTTTGAAGGTTTTAAGAATTTCATCAGATTTTGGGGTGAACCTACTCTCAAAATTAAAGAAATACTAAAAAGGTAATATTTCTGTTAAAATTCTCTAGCTTCAATAGAATTCCTGAAGTCAGTGATGACAAGTCAATGGTCATCGACAATGAAGAAGAAGAGAAGGAAGGAGAGAATTTGATACAGAAGAAGGATATTATTGTTGCAACTAGCAAAGATGTAATAGAGGCTCCTCATTTCCTGGTTAATGATCCCATCTCTTTCTATTGACTTAATCTACCAGATGTTGTGAATGGGAATATTAATCTTTGGGCAGGAGGAAGAGGCCGCACTGGCCTAGAGACAGAAGAAGGAACGAGAGTTGAGGAACAGAAGTTCACAACTGTTCCATCTTATAATGATGGAAAGCTTGAGTTTGCCACATTCGATTCCCTACTCCTCTATATTTTAAATGTCAGCAACAGCATTGCACAAGAAGGAGGAGCATTTGAGTTTGAGTTTCTTGAAGGAGACAACATCAATACTTTTGTCAACATTGATGGAGAGTTTTACAAAGTGTTCAACATTGAAAAGATCAAGATTCACAAAGGAGAAAGCTTGTGAAGCAATGGTCATCTTAGAATCCTCTCTAATGACCGTAATGAAATTTTTAGATAATTCGTCACCTTAGGCATCAATTTTTCCTGTTCAGCTTTCAATTACCCTCTAAAATCTAGGGGTTTTGGGGTTTTGGGGTTTTGGGGTTTTGGGG